GAAGCCTCTACACTAACCTCCCAAAATAGCAACATTCCCAAGCCAAAGTCCAGAAAAGACATACCTCTCCGAATTTACCACCCTGCAGTTCTGAATCCGCCCCGTTAGAGGGGTCTCCACAGTGCCAGCGATGTTAACAAGTTCCCGGGTTTCGGCACCAGATGTCCCGTGCAATCGCCTCGCCAGCAAGAACCACACAGGACATTCGGATCCTTCTGCAGTAAAGCTTTAATGCATCTGGAGAGGAGAGGATAAGCTTACCAGAGCGGAGACCCCGAGCCAAGAACCCCGTCCCCTAATAAAGGCTGGCAGCCGCCGCCTGGGACGTGTCACCCTATGATTGGCTTCAGCTCATCAGGCCATATGACGCCACGGAATAGGCAGAGATCAAGGAAATGGAAAATTACCCAGCGCCTGCGCAATAATTTACATTCAGTGCCTTCAGGCGCCATCATTGTAATGGAGAATGCAGGGACGGCTCCCTACAATAATCATCCATTTGTTTTAGGTTTTCAACTTTTGTGGAGTATAGGTTTTTAAAGTATGACCTAATGATTCTTCAGATTTCTTTGATGTCGGCTGTTATGGCCCCCTTTTTGTTTCTGACTTTGTTAATTTGGATATTCTCTGTCTTTTAGTTAGTGTTGGTAAGGGTTTGTCTATCTTATTGATTTTCTAAAAGAGCCAACTTTGTTTCAATGTGTGAGGCTCGATGTGTGATTTAAGCTTTAGTATTGTTTCCTTTACAAATGTGGGTGGCCTTGTGTTCGGGGAATAGACATTAATAAATGAAAGGCCATCTTGGTGGATTATTACTTTGATGAGTATGAGAGTATGAATTTTCTTTTCCGTGTCTTTTGATTAATTTTGGTTTGAAGTCTATTTTGTCACATATTAGAATGGCTACAGCAGCTTCTTTCTTAGGTCCATTTACATGGAAAATCTTTTTCCATCCCTTTTCTCTCAGGTAATCTTTGATGTTGAAGGGTATTTATTGAATGCAGCAGAAGGATGAATCCTGTTTTTTTTTAAAAATACATCCTGTTAGTCTGTGTCATTTTATTGAGAAACTGAGTCCATTGATACTGAGAAATATCAATGACCAGTGATTGTTAATTTCTATTATTTTGGTGGTGGTGGTGGTGGTGTGTGCGTGAGTGTGTGTGTGTGTGTGTGTGTGTGTGTGTGTGTGTGTGTATGCTTCCCTTCATTTGGTTTTGCCTGTGTGAAATTATTTATTTTCTGTGTTTTCATGGGTGTAGCTAATCTCCTTGGGTTGAAGTTTTCCTTCTAGTTCTAGGGCTGGATTTGTGGATAGATATTTCAATTTGACTTTTTTATGGAATATTTTGTTTTCTTTGTCTATGGTGATTGAAAGTTTTGCTTGATATATTAGTCTGGAATGGTATAGGTGACCTTTTAGAATTTGCAGGACATACCTCAATGTCTGTCTACAGTCTAGGTCTTTCTGAACTTTAGGATCTCCATTGAAAAGTTGGGTGTAATTCTACTAGGTCTGCCTTTATATGTTACTTGGCCTTTTTTCTTGTAGCTTTTAATATTCTTTCTTTGTTCTATATATCTAGTTTTGATTATTGTGTGCTGAGGGGACTGTCTTTTCTGGTCTAATCTATTTATTGTTCTTTAAGATTCTCATGCCTTTATAGGCATGTCCTTCTTTTGCCTAGGAAAATTTTCTTCTATGACTTTCTTGAAAATACTTTGTGTCTTTGAGCTGGGCTTCTCCTTCTTCTCTTCCAATTATTCTTCTTTTTTTCTTTTCTCAGTGTCCAAGATTACCTGGATGTTTTATGTCAGGAATTTTTTAGATTTAACATTTTCTTTGACCTATGTATCAATTTCTTCTATTGTCTCTTCAATGCTTGAGATTCTCTTTTCCATCTCTTGTAGTCTGTTGGTGTTCATTTGCCTAGATTTTTTCATATTCAGAATTCCCTGTTTGTTTTCTTTATTGCTTCTATTTTCATTTTCTAGCCTTAAACAGTTTTGTTCATTTACTTAAACTGTCTGTTCAATTTTTTCATGACTTTTTAAAAAGGGATTTATTCATTTTCTCCAATTTTTTTGTTTGTCCCCTCCTTGATGTCATTAAAGAATTTGTTCAATTCCTCTTTATTAACCTCTACCATCTTCATAAAGTTGGGTTTAAGATCTTTTGCTTATGTTTCAACTGTGTTGGAATATTCAGGGATTTCTGTAGTGAGATAACTGGTTTCTGGTGGTGACATATTGCCTTGGCTGTTGTTGGCTCTCTTCTTACCCTGGCATCTAGGCATCTGGGTTTGAAGTGATTATAGGTCTAGGTGCTGACTTCTTAGTTTGTCTTTATTGGATGGTTACTTTGTTCCTTGGCTTCTGTTTACTATCTGGTCTCTTGTCCAGGGTGATTTTTGGTTGAGTATAGAGTCTCCACCCCAGTTGGGGGCTGGACTTCTGATCAAGATATTAGAACCTTTTTAATTACTGTTTTGTGATTGTATGTTCATGTTATTTAATTTAATGCAAAATATAGTTTATTCATTCCAACAGGGTATTTATTTTGAGTGGAAAAGTTTCCTTTATCTTAACCTTAGTAACACTTCCATAAAAATGATAGTTAATCCACTTTACCTCTTGTTTTTTAGGAACACTATGGCTCTCTCAAAGGCCTTACCCTCAGCTGGATAGGGGATGGGAACAACATCCTGCACTCCATCATGATGAGTGCTGCAAAATTTGGGATGCACATTCAAGCAGCTACTCCAAAGGTAGGAAAACTTTCTGCCCTGAAAGAACTTTCTTTTTTTTTTTTTTTTTTTTTCTTTTTTCCGATGTTTTTTTTTTTTTTTCAAATTTTTTTTTATTAAATTATTAATATTTTCACATGTACTTTCCCTCTCCCTCTCCCTTCCCCCACCCCCATTCCTTCTCC